TAACCCACAATCAGCAATACAATAATGACTTGATCATCCATTTTAGTGATACTGGTTGAAGAATTTACATGTACTAGAATATTTGAAGAATTTCCATGCTGTTCTTCACAATATTGCCAAAAAATCACTTACGTCCATCAGAAGAACCTTGATTTAACATCTTACCAAAGGACAAAATAAAGACTGATCAATATGCTGTGTAGAGAACAAGGACTTCTTGACTACTTTGTTAGTAGAAAGTTATTTTATAAGTGGAAATAAATGGAGCCAAAACCTTGAGTTTCATGTAAGAAACTTTGCACTTATCACAGTAGTTCAGCCATACTTATAAAATTCTCTCAAATGTACATCATGAAGACAGACTATTTAACCTCTATGATAGATCTGATTGAAAAATGAAAATTTTGATACTTCCCTTTGTGTTTTACTCAGTTTGAATGATCAAAGTAAACATCTAATCAGTTACAAATTAACATCTACCACAAATTTAACAGTAAGAAAATAGGTTTCTTAATGTAAATCAAGAAAGTAGTTTGTGGTGCCTATTATTGGAGCAACATAGAAAATAAATGGTACATTTTTTCAGGATCACATGTACCCATTGAGGCTCCTGTAAGCCCACTGTCATTTCAATTATTCAATTGAATTAAAGCAAAAAAAAACGCTCAACACTGATTTTATCATTCATTTTGGACTTATTGAAAATGCCTAGTTAGAAAATTGGATTTGTTTTCAAACATGAATTTCACATTTCGTATTACAGTATACAGTCTCTGAGTTAGACACATAATCGCTTAACAATTTAACAACAAACACCTTGAACTGAACCAATAGTCTAAGGAAAACAGCCCCAAATGGTTTTCAATAACTGTCCTAAAATATAGAAAAGCCAAATATGTGTCATAATGAGAGTTTGTAAATCTCAGATACTAAGGGCACATGCACGGTGGTCATATATTTTGGGACTGACTCTATACAAAGACACTTCTTTGAACTGTGTTCAGTTTCTTTGCAATGGATTAAGATGAAAATTTGTGGGGAAACACGAATCAGGTAGCATGTCTACTTTTAAAATTGGTTCTTAAAAAAAAACCTGTTTAAGGGAGTTGACAACTAAACATTAATCCTTATAATGAGCTGTATAATGAGGTTAGTGAGATGATATGCAGGAGAATTTTACTTCTGTAAATAGCAAGGTATAAATTATGATGTTTATAATATTGCTTAAAATATTGTTTCAGATATTTCCCTCTCAATTTTAATTCATAAGTCAAAGATCAGAGAAACATGGAGATACCTGAAGAAAATTGCATTAGTTCACTCAGATATAGGCAAATGTTTAAACATAAGAGACGTTTGTGGTAAGAATAAAGGAATGAAGATCTGAATTAGAGGTGCACCATTTTGATATCATAGGCAGCCAACGTGAGCATTCCAGAAGTGATCCAGTCATCTATATTAGGCTGTCCTGGAAGGATGAGTTGTATGACATCAAAGACTTATTGCTTTGGTTGTAAACTCATTAACAACGAGCTAAATAAACCAGAGTTCAAATACATCCAGTAGACTTCTTATTGAAAGCGGTTAATTTGTCAGTTGTAACGTCAAATCAATACTAACATGATGACATTATTTCAGTCTTGGGCATTGTACTTAATATCAGCTTGCAATTACTAAGGCCTAGTTTGATGCTGAATTATTTTGGTACACCTGTTATCTTTACAAACTAAAGTTAGTTGTATCCATGCACTACTTGTTTACTCTGTGTCGTACAAAAATGTTGTCAATTGTTACCATAAGTCTTAAATAGAAAACAATAGTTCACCAATTAGATTGTGCTGTCATAGTAATTTCACTAAATTTAAATTTACAGACATAGGCTAATGCTTTGTGAACCTGGTAGTTGATACAATTTAAATTCAATTGATATATGTGGAATATATTACTAATTCCTCTGGGGAAAGCAATCTGTCATCTTGGTTGACCCACATGTAACTCCAGACTCACAGAAATATGGTTGATTCTTAAATGGCTGAGTAAACTACAGTGCAACGACAATTAGGAGTGAGTAAAAAATGCTAGTTTTGCCAGTAATGCCCTCATCCCATGAAAGGAAAGCAAATAATTTTGTCTGAATTATTTTCTTTAATAATTTGATAAAAAGTTAACTTAATTCATTTAGCTTATTGGAGAAGGATGATTTATTGTGTAATAGTTGATATAATTTTATCTGGCTATGAACTAGGAGTAAGAGTAGGTCTGCCTTCAATAAGTTCATGGTTGATCTAATCGTGGTCATAACTCCATGGTCTAACCTACCCCAATACCCTTTGCTCCCTTGTTAGTCAAGAATACAAAATGTTTAGATATATAATAATCCCTTAGTGATAGTAGTGAATCCCCAGATGACTCTTTGATGAGAAGGTAAAGTGGAAGACTTAAAGATTCATCTGGATATTTTTCTTTCGATAATATACATTGTAAAGATTATAGGTTTGCTAACCATTACATTCTTCTTACAAAAGAATTTGTTTTTACCATTTCCATACCAGCAGCCTTGTGACCTGAGTAAGACAACCAATTAATGCCAAAATAATACTGGCAGATTTGCACGCATGAATGCACCACCCCCACAGTCAGAAACACAGTCATTTCACATTGAAACACTGCAGTCACAAAAAAATGAAAAATTTCTGTTTGGGTAGGATTCGTTTCAATAAGAGTGAAACTTTAATCCACTGTAAAACTCAGTCTCTAGAAAAGCAAAACTCACTTTTTCAAAATTGGTAAATTTTTGATAAGTTAGTCACTATTGGATTGAAATGATTTATACATTTAGCATCGGGCTCGCTAATACAAGCTGCAAGGAAACACTCATAAATGCTGTTGCAAATGCAGATCAGAAATGTAACATTCATTACTGAACAAAATCTACTATGACACAAGAAGTTCAGCATTATAATCATCAATGGTGTTGTCATTTTATTTTTGCTTTAATGTTTAATATTCCAAAATTTGAAATTACCTGAGGCTGTTGAATTTTCAAGTCACTAAGCCCATCCTCTTAAAATCTTCTTAGTGCATTCTCAGTCTAGTCATCAAACAATTTTGAGGCAAGTGAAAACTGTTTGGTGTAACCAATGAAAGTATTGAAGTTTTGTACATGATTCTGATGGTTCTCAGACAGTATTTATTACATTTTATTTAAAATTATACAAATAATTTGCCCTGTATAAATGTGGAGCACAATTTTAATCCCATTTGGGAAAAATGCATTTATAATTCACTCCTGGCATATGTAGATGTCCTCATTTAAGAACAGAATTACACAACCATTCATTAGAATTCTCTCATTTCTTTAGTTTCAAGTCGAATCGAGAGTTTTGGACGTCTGAAATAGAAACTATGCTGGTCAATTCACATTGGAACATATGGAACTTGCCAATCATCATACGTATTTGACCATATTCAATCATGTAACTCCAAAAACAGCAAACAATTATTTCTACAGATAGTTTTTATTGTATCAAATCTAGTACCACAATAATACCAATCTACATCATAGGTATTTGATTCAAGTACCTCTTTGTGAGAACCAATCTTCCTTTGAAGTTCAAACACATCTGCAGCTTTTTGTTTTAACCCTTTAATCGAATTGCATGCTTTATATTTCAGCAGTTCCAAATGCTCTCATTTAATTACTTACTTAACAATTCTTTCCTGTTCTCCTTTTTTATTCATTTTTGTTATCCCATTTAATTATGTCTTTTCCAAACCATCACAATGTTGTAATCCACTTTATCGTCAAAATGTAGCTAACAAATTGGATGGGTAATAAAAGGCCTCCAGTATATTTACAATTTATTTTCATAACCTTTATTTTTTCAACTTTGTGACAGGGTTCCAACATGCCAAATAAAGAATTATAGTTTTCATTTTAAAAGTGTTGTCTTTCATTTTCACATCAACAAAAGCAAATGATGAATTGTTCTAACTTTTGGAAAAGTGTTGTATCATTCCAGAATAAGTTACACTGCAGTTTAGTAGGTTGTATATCCTAATTAAATACAGTACACCTTATTTCAAAGACAAAAAAAAACAGAAATAGCTGGAAAAGCTCAGCAGGTCTGGCAGCATCTTTGGAGAGAAATCAGAGTTAACATTTTGAGTTGAGTGACCCTTTCTCAGAACTGATGGTTGCGAGGAAAATGTTGGTTTACATGCAAAAGATACAGTAGCGGGAGGGTGTAAGGAGTAAACGATAGGTGGGGATAGAGCCCAAAGAGAGAAGAACATATGGACAGACAAAGGAGTGGATAATGATCTGGCTAAGAGGGTGAATAACCATTAATGTCTGTTGTACCATGTGTTGGAGTATTTGCAAGGATGTCGATCCGAGTCATTTGTTCTATAAAGCATTTGTATTGTAATGTGAGCAACAGGCTAAGCAAAGTAACTATATTCTGGTAACATTTACCTGATATGTGTAGACATTTTTGGCAGTTATTTCTTGCATAATAGTGTGAAAATGGCAAGCCATTTGGTAGGATTTAAGTTGCACTTCACCAACCTTGCCAGTTTCTATCCTATTTGGAAAGCTATAGGAACAAGAGTTGGCTATTCTGCCCCTCTAGTTAATTCTACCATTCAACTAAATCATTGCTGACAAAAAGTGAAATAATTTGTCAGTTCCAATCTGACGCTTGACGAATTTCTGTGGATATCATGCCTTTCTTTCTGCAATTGCCATCTTTACTCAATATTGTCATTCCTCATGGATCAAGACAGAAAATGGGGCTTTGCTTTGTCTTTTCAGCATAAATTATATCAGTAACCTTTACCAAATGTAATCTTAACTAAAATGCACCCCAATGTATATTTAATTTGATATCTGTTAATTTAATTCTCACTGTGGAGAGAAAAAAATGTTCTTCTGCTCAATAAATTTATTTTCAAGTAAAAACAGTGGAAATGTACAATAGGAATAAAAGTTACCATCTTGAATCATTTATGAGCACGGTATAACTTACTAAGTTGTTAATTTGTATGACAATAACTACAGCTAACACTAAACCATTAGACTGTTATTTACATTCAGCTAGAGAAAGTAATGTAAAATTGACATCTGTTTTTCAAAGACAGTTTGTAAAACGCACATTAAGATATGAAATTGCAAAAAGTAACGTTTAAAGGTCAAAACATTTTTCCCAATATATAACAACGCAGATAAACAAGCTAAGAAAATATCAAAAGGGAAAGTACATCAAAGTTCTTAATTGGAGAGGGGGAAATGCGTCACCGAAATTATGTTTTTTACATTTTTTTTTACATTCCAGTTCCATTTGGTCTTCTGGATATTCGTGAATAATCTGCCGAGTTTAAAGGGCAGCGCAGCTAGCGCACAAACATTAAAATCGTTTGTTGTAAAACGACACTCAGATTGGGGAAAGTGCTTATTCGTGTTTAAATTCCCTGATCGATATGTTTTCGAGCACTCGGTAATACTTCTATCAAATCTGGGCCAACGTGGAGATGATGTTAGAGATCCCAACAACAAGTAGCCTCGATAAATTCGTATTCCAGAGAGATTAAATTTGTCCTCATAACACTCCACTCAGCGTCTCCCTTCTCTTCAATGTAAACAGAAACCATTGGACGTGACTGTCCTGTGATTAAGGTTAATCCACCAAATGACTGCATGTACATTATTAAGATTAAATTGGATTTTCGTGTGTTGTGCGCAGTGCGTGGGTTTTCAAGCTGTGGGAAGAAAGGGGGATGGGTCCCTGCTCTTCCAATGTCTTTAAATAACGCAGTAAGCTTCCCTAGGCGTCTGTGTGCTTTGAAAACAAGGGAAGTGGGTTCTGAAGCAAATCCTCAGCTCTTTGTTGAAGATAAAGCATAAGATAGGGTTGACCCCTGCTTGGGCGAATGTCATCCACACTGCAGCGGTCAGGTAGACCTGTGGGATGGTACTGGCCTTGACAAAGACCCGCAGGTAGCAGGCGACAATGTAGGGGGACCAGAGCAGCAGAAAGAGGACGGTGATGATGTAGAACATCCTGCCTATCCTCTTTTCCATCTTGAATTCGTCTAAGACGAGCAGTCTCTTGTTCTGGTTGTGGGCGGTCTGCCTGATGCCCACCAGGGTAGGGGGAGTCGGCCCTCTGCCGAAGCCGGCGATCCAGTTGGCAGCCGCTTGGCCGGTCGCCCCGGGGCCGTGAAACGTCCAGTTCTGGCTGATGGCCGGGACGAGCTGCGCCGGTTTCATCTTGCGGTGGTCGTAGACGAAGAAGATGAGCTTGACGTAGACCAGATGGGTGGCGGCGATGATAACCGCCAGCATCAGCATGAAGCCCAGGGTGTCGTTCGCCTTCACGTAGCGGTGCTCGAAGATGCACTGCTCCTCCTCCCGGATGAATTTGTAGGTGCCCACGTCGAAGACGGGCGGGAAGGCCATGGCCACCGACAGGGTCCACACCATGCAGATGACCGCCACGCAAGTCCACACGCTCATCCTCTTGGAGTAAAAGCGGTGGTGGGCGATCGCCATGTAGCGGGTGATGCTGATGCAGAACATCATGAAGGCGGCGTGGAAGCAGAAGAGCACGGCGGCGAACGCGATGATCTTGCAGCTGAGCAGGCTGTAGGTCCAGGCCGAGCCGCTGCTGATGGAGATCATGACGAACGGGAAGCAGAGCAGCGAGCGGACAATGTCAGCCAGGCACAGGTCCAGCAGGAAGTAGTAGGGAGCCCGGTGCAAGCTCGGCTCTTTGAAGATGAGGAAGGAGAGCAGCAGGTTCCCGGTCAGGCTGATGCAGATGATCAATCCCAGAGAAGCCAGTTTGACAGCGGAGGCGGTGATGGCGTAATTCTGAAGAGAACTGTTGGTCTCTTCGAGCTCACTGGCGTTCGCCATCGAGGTGGCGGCGGGCAGTGCTCAATCCCACCCCCCCACCTTCAGTCAGTGCCTCAAGCTTTCCATTTCCATCGGAAAACCACAAAGTTCCTTCTCATCCTCATCATCAGCGCCGCCGCCCAGGGAAGGACTGAACCAAAACGATGCCTTTCTCTCTCTCTCTTTTGTGTTGTTGCTCTTCAGTGTTTTTTTTTGGTGTAATTTCTTCATCCACCCTGAAGACCGATCATTTCTGAAATAGGAACAGGAGACATTTGTTTAACAGGATCGATCTGCTTCCTTCAAACGCCCCCAACCCCACTCCCCATCCCTTTCCACACCCCAACCCAACCACAGCAGCAGCCCTCCCTTGCACCGTTTACCAAACGAGGAACGGTTAAGGCACAACACACACACACATACTAGAAGGTATTACTAGGTTAAAATCATTATCAATACTAATACCTCTTCTTTCCCAGCCATGGCAGGGAGCTGAACTTCCGGTGAGTGCTCAAAGAATGGCTTTAGGGTTAGTGTGAGACTGCGCAGAAGAGAAGGTAGCAGCGTTTTTTCCAGCTTTATTTCCCCTATTAAAAAAATATCCCTTGGTTTTCAGCCCAGAACATCCCTGACCCCGCTATCTGTCCAGCCCGGGCTCCGAGCTTTCTCTCGCAGAAAGGAAAAAAATCCACTCCTCGTAGTCTCAACTGCGCAAGTTCCCTGCTGCACCGTGCAAGAATATCATCCCTCAGCTTTCCCCCTCCCTCCTGCCCACCCCCAAGGCAAAGCAGGGTCGCTCTGTTTCGTGATGCTGCCTCGATACGGTAGCCCAGAGTGACTGGCTCTAACCACTGTGGATAAATACAAAGAGATGACAGGCTGTTGCCTCCTGTACTTTATTTTGCAGCCAATCTCAAGTATAAGCCATTCCCAGACTGATGACAGTAGAGTCCATTATACCCTAGTGGAAATGGGAAATCCTCTTTTGTTGCTGTTTGCATTTTGGATTTGTTCTTTTGGATACATTATACAGTTGTATGGTCCATGAGAGGATTACTGAGCTGAAAGAATGCCCCTGCGTTTTTTTTTTCATTTCTGCTCCACATTTTCCAGAGTCGCTCAATAAATACAAACACACACACACACACACACACACACAACTAAAATCACGAACCTGCATTCTCAGGACGACAAGAAAAACACCTTTATTTCAGTCAGAATATTGCTACCATTCTGCTTGTTTCAAATCGGGATGGAGGGGTGGAAATAAGACTTCACAAAAAAAACCGTGTCACTGCCCACCTAATGTTAAATCCGACGCACGTTTTACACTGTACTCTCCTAGAGTACAAAATAATGATGCAACAAAGAATCCATTTTACATTATTGCGACAAAACAGGTTGTGTGTTTTTTTTTCATTGTTTAGGTTTTGCAGCTGCCACTACAGAAGCAATATCAGAAACAAATGAAAAGGAGGAAGGATAAGTCATCTGCTCGCTCTGACACAAACAATTGGACCAAACCAACCTATTCAGTGCCAGATTGGAAGAAGCTGTGACTCTCCTCTGCTTGCCTGTCATGTAGTTCATACTCATGCACCCCCTATGGACACGTTCGCTGTAGCTCTGATCCTGTCAGAAGGTAGGCTTCACACAAGTTCAAACAGTGAAGCTCCGATAAATTGGGCAGACACGCTTGAACGTGAATCTCCTTTTTCCCGTTAAACTAACGGATTACTATTATTGATTAGATATTCAGACATAGTGATTGCCATGTGAGCATGTAACCCACTAAATCCCTGTATTTAAAATAGCAAGATGTTCAGAAACCGTAGAGTTAATAGAATTTAATTCGTTCTATGGACATCCCACTTTCTATTTTATATAAGACGTTTAACAATGTAAAAGGTTCGAAGACGGGTCACAGCAGCGTTGTCCAACAAAATTTGAGGTGGCGCCACATGAAATGTAAGGAAGATGGCCTTAGTGAGGGGTGGGATTTAAGGAGAGATGGAATTCCAGAGTTTTTAACAGCCAATTGTGAACACCATAAAAATCGACTATGCTCAAAAGGGCAGCATTTGAACAGCACAGATATTAGGGAGGGCAGTAGAGCTGCAGGTTACAGAGGCAGGGAGGGGCGAGGTCTCAAAAGAATGTGATAGCAAGGACAGATTTACATTTTTGCATTGTTATTACAACTCGTAATTGTAGTTTAACCGTGAGACCAACTTTAGTGGCAAGAGGAGATAACAAGGTGTGGAGCTGGATGAACACAGCAGGCCAAGCAGCATCAGAGGAGCAGGAAAGCTAGTGGGAAGAAGGGTTTTTTTGCAGACACAGCGATAGACTGTAATGAAAGAGTCATAGAGTTATACAGCATGGAAACAGACCCTTCGTTCCAACTTGTCCATGCTGCCTAGATATCCTAAATTAATTTAGTTCCATTTACCAGCATTTGGTCCATATCCCTCTAAACCCTCCCTATTCATATACCCATCCAGATGCCTTTTGAATGTTGTAATTGCACGAGCCTCCACTGCTTCCTCTGGCAACTCATTCCAATCATGTACCATTCTCTGCGTGAAAACGTTGCCCCTTAGGTCCTGTTTAAATCTTTCCCCGCTCACCTTAAACCTGTGCGCTTTAGTTTTGGACTCTGCTACCCTGGGAGAAAGTTCTTGGCTATTCACCCTATCAATGCCCATCATGATTTTATAAATCTCTATAAAGGTCACCCTTCAGTCTACAGTGCTCCAGGGAAAATAGCCCCAGCCTATTCAGCCTCTCACTATAGCTTAAACCCTCCAACCCTAGCAACATCCTTGTAAATCTTTTCTGAACCCTTTCAAATTGCACAACATCCTTCCTAAAGCACAGAGACCAGAACTGAATGTAGTATTCCAAAAGTGGCCTAACGAAGGTCCTGTACAGCCAAAACATGACCTTGCATCTCCTATACTCAATGCACTGACCAATTAAGGCAAGCACACCAAATGCCTTCTTGACTGTCCTGTCTACCTATGACTCTACTTTCAAGGAACTATGAGCCAGCACTCCAAGGTCTCTTTGTTCAGCAACACTCCCCAGGACCTTAAGTGTATAAGTCCTGCCCTGATTTGCCTTTCCAAAATGCAGCACCTCACATTTATCTAAATTGAATTCCATCTGCCACTCCTTGGCCCATTGGTCCATCTGATCAAGGTCCTGCTGTACTGAGATTTTTGGCTATCCACTGCACTACCAATTTTGATGTCATCTGCACACTTACTAACCAAACCTCCTATGTTCACATCCAAATCATTTATACAAATGACAAAAAGCAGTGGATCCAGCACCATTGCTTGTTGCACACCACTGGTCACAGGCCTCCAGCCTGAAAAGCAACCCTCCACCACCACCCTCTGTTTCCTACCTTCAAGCCAGTTCTACATCCAAATGTCTAGTTCTTGCTGTGTTCCATGTGATCTAACCTTGCTAACCAGCCTATGATGCACAACCTTGTCAAACGCCTTAATGAAGTCCATATAGATCATGTCCATCATTCTGCCTTCATCAATTCTCTTCGTTACTTCTTCAAAAACCTCAATTAAGTTAGTGAGACACAATTTCCCACGCACAAAGCCATGTTGACTATCCCTAATCAATCCTTCCCTTTCCAAATACATGTAAATGCAGTCCCGCAGGATCCTCTCCAACATCTTGCCCACCACTGATGTCAGGCTCACCAGTCTGTAGTTCCCTGGCTTTTCCTTACCACCAAGGATCGATGAGATTTGTGCATATCAGCCTGGAGTTGCCAATTGATTTCTGTTCATATCTGCAGAAACTAGGTGTAATCCAATTAAATAATATAAATATTTGTCAATTTGAACCTTATTAGCATTTCAAAAGTCATCGAACCCAAAGTAGCACCTGCACACAAAACTGGTAATATGTTCAGTTCAGAATGATGAGATACTGCTGATTGCCCCCATGTTAGAATTCTCCTCACATCATACTGACAATCCCTTGTGCACAGACACTGGTATTATTCACCTTTACCTGGTGTTCAGCAGTCAATTGAAGCCTGACCCCATTTTGTTTGGTTTTTAGTGCTGCTGCAGTTACTTTAATTTCAATTAAAGTTATTTTAAATTCAGTCAATAATAGCAGAACAGGATACACCTATATGACCTCACTTAACTGCTGATCACCGATTTTATGCATTGCCTTTTCCCCTTTTAACAATTGTAAAAATACATTACAAAATATTTCAACTTGAATATTACACAATTTGCATTAAAACTCAACTCATCTTCGTACTGAATATCCTACTCTGATTAATAGTTTTCATGCTTACAATATGCATGCCATGTCAGGTTTACAGGCCATCAGGAAAGCATTCGAAATTGGAAATTCATGAAAGTGCAATAGAAATAACCTTTTCTCTGTACTCTATGTTCCACTCTAAGGCGTCTCACTACAATTTCAGTACTCCTGATCTTCATAGTGTACATTCTTTGCAAGGCATACAGCCCAAGGGGTTCAGAGATAGTAGGAACTGCAGATGCTGGAGAATCTGAGATAACAAGTGTAGAGCTGGATGAACACAGCAGGCCAAGCAGCATCAGAGGAGCAGGAAGGCTGACGTTTCGGGCCTGGACCCTTCTTCAGAAATGGGGGAGGGGAAATGGGATCTGAAATAAATAGGGAGAGAGGGAGAGGCGGATAGAAGATGGATAGAGGAGAAGATAGGTAGAGAGGAGACAGACCGGTCAAAGAGGCAGGGATGGAGCCAGTAAAGGTGAGTGTAGGTGGGGAGGTAGGGAGGAGATAGGTCAGTCCAGAGAGGACGGACAGGTCAAGGGGGCGGGATGAGGTTAGTAGGTAGGAGATAGGGGTGGGGCTTGAGGTGGGAGGAGGGGATAGGTGGGAGGAAGGACAGGTTAGGGAGGCGGGGACGAGCTAAGCTGGTTTTGGGATGCGGCAGGGGGAGGGGAGATTTTGAAGCTTGTGAAGTCCACATTGATACCATTGGGCTGCAGGGTTCCCAAGCGGAATATGAGTTGCTGTTCCTGCAACCTTCGGGTAGCATCGTTGTGGCACTGCAGGAGGCCCAGGATGGACATGTCGTCTGAGGAATGGGAGGGGGAGTTGAAATGGTTCGCGACTGGGAGGTGCAGTTGTTTATTGCGAACCGAGCATAGGTGTTCTGCAAAGCGGTCCCCAAGCCTCCGCTTGGTTTCCCCGATGTCGAGGAGGTCACAACAGGAACAGCAGATGCAGTATACCACATTAGCAGATGTGCAGGTGAACATCTGCTTGATGTGGAAAGTCTTCTTGGGGCCTGGGATGGGGGTGAGGGAGGAGGTGTAGGGGCCCGTTTCTATCTCCTTTCCAAAATCCACAAACCTGACTGCCCTGGTCGACCCATTGTCTCCGCCTGCTCCTGCCCCACCGAACTTATCTCCACCTACCTGGACTCCATTTTCTCCCCCTTGGTCCAGGAACTCCCTACCTATGTCCGTGACACCACCCACACCCTCCACCTCCTCCAGAACTTCCAATTCCCCGGTCCCCAACACCTCATCTTTACCATGGACATCCAGTCCCTATATACCTGCATTCCCCATACAGATGGCCTAAAGGCCCTCCGCTTCTTCCTGTCCCGCAGGCCCGACCAATCCCCCTCCACTGACACCCTCATCCACTTAGCCGAACTTGTCCTCACCCTCAACAACTTCTCTTT